AGCTCCTCAGTTGGGTTCGCATGGCCGTCATTTCAAGATCTTTGAAGTAGATGACCCTCTGATTTGCGCCGCATGCACAGAAAGCAAACATGGTCTCTTGGAAGACTTTAATCCTTTAGCCCCTTTGGCCGCCGGCACGAGTTTGTTGCCTCCAGCTACTGTGCTTGGTGCAGTGCCCTGCAGTTCGACCGCCGCGAAGCTCCAGGTCTCGCGAACCTCGACGCCCAGCGAGGCAGCCCAGCAGGGTTCAGGTGAAAGTCATGGGGGTCGGGCGGATCAAATCCTACAGGGTGGGCTGAGCTCCGGAGCGGCTGCCGGGCAGGCGGCTGCAGGCTGCAGGCTCGACCGAAGTCAAAGGCTTGTACAGTGCAGTGTGCGAAGATGTTTTTGTGCCGTGCACCGGGCCTTTACGGACCTTTTTGATAGACATGGGTGACATGGGCCGGTGTCCAAGCTGCCTGCTGTGCCAAGCTGCCCACAATTTCCCATGGCCTCTCTATTGAGAATATCATGCGGTGTTTTTGCAGGGCTGGGCTGACCGTGTTTGTGGGCGCACTTTTTGGTGAGATGCATGTTTTAGGCTATTGGCTTGACCAAAAGCTTGTCTGAAGCGAATATGTTTTAAAGGTGTACACTATACATTTTACATACACCAGAAGATCCTTCCGGTTAAGTGAAGACTCCACCATTGATGGGGCCCCGGCAATGCCACCACAGAAGCTTCCCTCAGACAGGAGTCATCAACACTTTTGGGAACCTATAGAACGCATGGATTTTATTCACCCCCAAGAAGACAGTGCGACAAGTTACTCTTGGTTCCCTACAAAGACAGGGAGTTCCATTTCATGTCAGCTTTTTGCAGCGCAAGACGAAAAACCCAGCTTGATGGGTGATCCAACAGCTCACTTTTTGAGTGATTTGACAGATGTGCCAGATTCTGGAACTCGGAAACATATCACAGTGGCTTCAATGCACCAATATGCCCCAATGATCCAGCATCAAAATATGGGTGTTGTACAAGACCCTGGTGGAATATGGCACAAAAAGAAGCCATGTGCGCTGAGGAAACGTTCCCCGCCCAAGAAGGCTAAGCAGCACCTGGGCTGGGATGGCGGAAAAATGCGTTCAGTTCGAAGGAGCAACCAAACCACAGGGGATTGGTCATCGGAATTGAGTCAGATGGGATCAGATGGGCACACATTTCAGTGACCCGTCTCTCAATACCAGGCCAGGCCGTGTTTCACCACCGCTTCGAATAACCAGAGTTGTCCTACGTGAAGCACTCGGGTAGAGCGCTTGCCAACTGCATTCCGGACAGCCAGGGAGAGTGAGGGCGCTGCCAGAGATTGCCCAGCAGTTCCGAACAAGACTTTGGTCCCTTCAAGAACCTTTAAAAAGATTTAAAGCGTGCCCCCTGCCAACCAAAATGTAAATCTTTTCCAAGAATCTTGGAGGGAGTCGAGCAGAAAGGCTTGGAACGTCTTCGGTGGTGAATACTCTCCGCATTTGGGTGATCCCGAAACCGGACTTCTCGGCCCAGATCGATCCAGATGCGCACCGGGCGTTCGATCCTGTGCCGGACACTGGAAGACGGTCCTTGCCACCTCCCACTGTTAGTGAGTCAAAAGTGTGTGTATAGTTTGACTAGTGGGTTGGCCTCTTTGTCTGTGGGAAACGCGGGAAAGGTGGCCATATAAAAGAGGCCAACCCTGCCCTCAATGTATAGTGTGGTGGAATTCCTTCGGGAACCCGCACTCTGTGGTCAACCTTCCGATCCCGCGGCGCTCGCGTGGTGATCGCCGAGGCATAGCCTGTTGCAATTGAAGACCTCCTTGTCAAAGGCCGGGCGGACCGACCCCGCGCGGTGTGACCTCTGGGCTCAATGGCTGGCGAAGGAGCGACGCCCCCTTCCGGTCGGCGACTCGACTTCCCTTCATCGGTTTTACACGGAGGTTCGGATCAAGGGAGTCAATTGGACGTTGAGCCAGGACTCTACGTCCTGACCGGGGTAGAGGCCTGACGAAATCTTGCATTTTGCTAACGTCCGGGGTGTTGTGGCTACGGCCAGCTGCCGTCAAGTGGCTGCGCTGATGGCGTGCGCTTGGCGTACGATGCCTTGATGCAGGGATTTTTGCAGTTACCCAGGTTACCAGCTCACCGCTTCAAGACCCTGAAGCAAACCACCATGCCACTGGTTTGACCGTTTGACCCTAGATTACTGTAGGCACACCAGACACATATTGCTTGCAATTGTCATCAATTGTCAATGTATCAGCTTCACTGTTTTTGGGTTGTGTTTCTTGTCAGGAGAACTGGCTGGCTGCTGCGGTACGGACTGTCAGCACAATTTCATCATAGTGATTGTTGGTCAAGAAGTTTGTCCTTGTCCTCCTTGTCGTCGTCCTCCTCCTTTTTATCATCATAAACGTCATCCACAAGTAATGATGAGATAATATCCTGGATTTGCTTCGCTTGGGTTTTTGAGAGGCTGGATGTTTTTTTTTACATTTTGGAAAGAGCCTGGACGTTTGGGTGTCCAAGGCATACTGGCGTTTTGTACCAGGAAAAGCTTCACAGGGTTGTTGACGTCATTGCGGGCTGCACGTTCGCATGAACAAGTTTGATGTTGAGACCAAAAAGAAACATCTCAAGAAAACGTAGCATCACCTCAGATTCCCAGAAACTCCCGTCACAATCAGGGCCAGCAAAACCTTACACAAGTGAGGTGATAGGTGATGGACTTTGGCATTGATGATAATTAAACAATTGAAGAACTTGGAAATCCACAAGTCAAATATGGGCTCTTGGAAGGCTATGAGCTCATTTGCAAAGCAATTGTGACATGGAGTTTTACAATGAGTACATTGATTTATATTCTCGATTGGAGTGGACCTTTGATTCATGGCAGCCTAAGTTCCACTTTTGGCCTATCCAACTCACTGCAACCATCAGCACAGGACTGTCACTGTTTTTGATACAGCTTTTGTTTGTAGCAGTAGTGCAATGCCCATCACCTTCTACTCGGTTGCAGTGTTGGAATCGTCATTAATGATAATACTAAACAATACCGTACCTATATAACTTTCACAAACACTGCTTCCCTGAACGAGCTTGTTGCAGAGGTGGTGCTGCCTCCAGAAGAGGATGACTTGAGCCCCTAGTGTGCCTGCCGGCCCAGCGCAGCTAGGCGTGCGGTGTCCGTCGTGCAGAACATGTATTCATCATGTTGACCCTCCGTCGTCAGAGTTTGAACTACACTCCCTGGAACTAACATGGAAGTGGAGAATGGCCCCGAAAGGAAGACCACGAAATCCACTACAAACAGGTGGTGCCATCCACGTAACCATGTGAGTTCTAGGGAGGGTACCTCCGTTTCGGTGCTTGGGTGGAAAGGGTCGAAGATGGTGTGAATCACTTGCATCCAACACAGGTCTCGGAGTCTGCATACATGCCTAGAGGCTTGTGTTCTTTGGGATCGTGCGCCAGATGTTGCAAAGTCAAGGTGTAATCGTCTAGAGATTGGCTTGGAATCCGTCGCATGGGCGATTTCTGTCTCAATGCATGGGACCTCAAGATGAGAATAGATATGAATACATTGCCCCTTAAACCAGATGTAATGACAGACAATTTCTAGGAACAAACGCTACAACAAACACTACATCCAGCTGAAACACATTTAAAAGGCCTTTACCGAATTCATAAGCCCTTCCACTGGAGGACCCAGTGATGGCTTTGTGACACTTGGTGAGCTGGTTCTGCCAACTATGTTGACAAACCTCCCAATAGGAAGAAGTGAAGTCACTCAATCTGACCCACTTCCCTACTAAGACCCCGTCAAGTATCCTCAAGACTCAAGGACAGCTTGTAACCTTGAATAGAGCGAGCCACGAGTATCGAAGTGGCCAAGGCGATGGGTGGATTTAATAGAGGCAGTCCACCCCTCTTGATTTCCACTGCTTGGTGGTTTCAATCCTTTCCTCAGTAAAGCTACTTACGCTTGAAGCTCCTCGGGGAGGAAACAGTCTAATGCCTCCAAACGGTCTAAGTTTCACCGTCAAATCCAAATGCTTCACCCCGAGATGGAGCATGAATTCCACTACTTGTCCCGTGGCTAGTCACTGCCAGTTCACCCCTCCTCCCGCAAGGCCCAAGCAGCAGAGATCTGACCCGGGTCTTGGGGAAGAAAAAGGTCGCGCCAACTGTGCTGTTTCATGGTTTGCCCTGCATGTGTGACAACCAGGTTGGTCACAGTCGTTGGCTCAAGGAATGAACACATTTCAGCATCTTTCAGCCTTCCCATTTCAGCCTTCCTTTACGGTTCATGTTGTCATGGCCAATGTTTCCCCAACCGTGTTTGTTGCATTCCTGAAAACCAATTTAGTGAGCATGTTTACTCTTTTGTTGTCTAAGTAACTACGCCCGTGCGTCTTAGCAACTTGAAACATGTCTTGTGCTGCAGAGAAGCATCTACAGGTGCAGATGCGGTCCTTCTCAGGCTCAGGCTGGTGCTGTGCAAATGACAATCCACTGGGTCTTGTGACAAAGGCTGAGGCCGGTCCGTGTCCAAAGATGGAGCATCTCCCTAGCCTTCCAAGACCATAGGTTGGCCTGATTTGGCCTGGTTTTGCAGTCTAGATTCTTCAGTAAAGCAATGGTTGCTCGGTAAAAATCACTGTTTGATGGTGCTGGGAATCCTAGGGTGTAGGGGTATCGTATAGGTAGAGTGCAGAGTAAGTCGCCAAATGTTTGATCTCCAGCCGCACGAGGGCCTCAATCTGTTTGCGGAAACCACGGGTTCGGAGATCATTCCTGGAGTCGCAAAATGCTCCAGGTCCAAAGGGTTGTCAAATGGAGACCCCTTACAACCTTTGAGGAGTCATCATTAGATGGTGCTGTGAAATATTGTTTCCCTTCCATCTGCCATGTTGACATCCAGTGTGACGATTGTTACATACACAACTCAGTACACAACTCACATATATAATGTTCATAGTTTTGTACCTCCATCCCATCCTGAGCCATGGTGGGACAAAGTCCCGGGGCCAACATGTTCTGTTTGGAGAAGCCATGCTTGGAGGGCGGACTTGTTTTGACACTCGGCAAGGCCATATTCAGAGGCTTTCTATTTTGAGTTTGGGAATGCAGAGTCTGAATGCAACCAGGGGCTTCCCTTTCCTTTATGAGTTCCACAGTAGTTGTGCCTCTCTTGGCAGATGGGAATGGACATATATGACTCCATTCAGGGCACATTTGGTGAGAAAGCCGTGCCATTAGATGCCTTTTGCACACAAGCCCAATTCCAAGGATTACATTTGGGATGCACCTTCAACATATTCCAACAGAGCTTCTTTTGGTGTTTCCCCCGCTTTCTGAACCCTTGCATTGCAAGTTCTTTGCATGCTGACTCTTGACTATGGCTTCCTTCGAGAGGTTATTTTTTATGACTTGAGGGTCATCATCAACAGCCTCAGGAGCTTCTTAGAGCTTTCCAGCATCATTTGCCTTTGGTCGGCCGTGATTTCAGCTACGGGCCCGCCTCTTTTGCTTGCCTGCGCCTTGAGGACTTTTTTTGCACTCATCCCCTGAGTATGGTGTAGTTTGTGGATTCTTTGGAAAATCGGACAGAGGATCGAGCCAATCGAGCCACGTCCCCTTTGAGGTGATTGGTTTCCTCTTTTTGTGCAGGCGAAGTGAGGGTCCAGTCGTAGCTTGTAGGCGAAGGCATGTGGGCCCGTAGGAGAAAATTGCAAACAATGTCATTGCATTTCATTACTGTTTGATGCTATTTGTTAGACAATTTTGCGAACGACAGGAGTGTCCTAATGCCAATTCAGTGGACATGGCGTTCGTGGCAAGACTGCCAAGCGCTGTGCAGTGTGTACTTTTGGCAAACCAATTTGGAGCTTTTTGGAGCTTTCAGGGGTCTGTATGAGTTCCTGTGTGGCAAAATGTATGAGTTCCACCTGTGATAGTTGTGCTTTCCGTGTTCTGATTTATGAACATCGAAAACGAACAGCAGGAAGGAGCACTGGCGCTTCCTTCCTCTATGGCGGCACTGGCTCCAAGATCCAGGACACCGGCCGGCGATACCCAAACACGACCTGTTTGGAACTGCCACATTTGCCATCCAAATCGGGGTGATAAACGGAGGGTCAATGAGTGTCGCGGCATGTATTCCTGTATTCCTGCCAGTCCCATGGTGTGTTTGGGATAAGATGGACGAAAGTTGAGAGTTGGATCAGATTGATGCTTGAGTCTAGAGTCATCAGTTTTGCGGCGGGTGCTGTTGGTGTTTCACAATTCAGCGTGTGACATCTCAGCGATCAGAGACATGGGTGCCCGTGCCCGAGCTGCCCAGACTCTACAAAGAATTCCAACACTAAGACATGCGAAGACTATTTGTTCAGCCAAGTTCAGCCCCTGCAATGTTTGGGGTCTCGTTTCAACAGGGCAAGATCCCTGTGAGGTTCCTTGGGCCTTCAGCAGCTGGCAGCTGCATTGGGCTTTGCAAAGGTCTTGCGCCCCATGCGCTTGGGCACGCTGGAACTGGCCAAGCGGCCCGATGAGTTTGCGCTGGTTTCTTTAAACTTCCAGAGGGGACCACAACACAGAACCACATGACGAGTTATTCCAGGACCACCACGCACCAACCCATAGGGTCCAGGTAGTGGTCCAGGTACCTCCTTTTCGGATGGTCGGAGGTGAGTGATCGTCTGATCACAGAACCATCGCCCCCCCCACTCAGCCCTGCAGATTTCGGACGAAAGTCAAAGGACCGATCCTCCGGTATGTGGTATCCTGTAAGGCTTTAGGAACCTCACATAAATGTACACATATGTACACTGTACAGTTACGGTATATGGTTTAACTATAGTTTTAACATATATATATATATCATATATATATGTCTTCCATGTTTTCCATCACCTCAAAGGGGAGGTAGACTGCAGACTGGATTCAGCCGATCTTCCTGAGAAGAGCGTGCAAAAGGCTCAGATACGCTACGCCATGTCAGAAGCTCCTGAAATATTTTGAAAATCGTCCTGGGGTTTTCAACGATTAAGCATTTCTGGTAGTTTTGGTCATTGACCCAGTTTTCAGCGTAAATGCCAGCAAATCAACGAAACCAAGAAAACAACCGCCGCATTCTGCAACATGCGCACAATATATCACAATAATATCAATACTTCAGGCAGACAAACGTTTATGCTTGTTAACCACGTTCAAGAATCGCCGTATGGTCAGCTGCGGATCGAATTACCAAGTCCAATTTGCGTGGCAGGTGTGGGACGGTCAATTATCACACCGTTTTAGATTATATTAACATAAGGCTTTCCGGGGTGAAAAATGACCGCCCACACGGCCCCAGGTATCTCAATGTAGGATTCTAGGGGGTATGGGTTGACATGAGTTTGTGTCTCAAGAAGCGCAACTTTTGTTTGGCCAGTGTAATCCTGCAAAAAACTGCAAAACTCCGCAAAAACCAACGCAAAGCAAAAAAGAGCACAACAACCAAAACGACCAGAGAAACAAAACGGCTAGACATTGTTTGGAAGATCCATGGTTTATGCAGAAATCCTTTGCAAAAGGTTCGGGAAACTGAGATTTATTGACAAGTTCGGAGTTTTTTTTTACCAACACGTCCCGAACCTCTGAACACCCTTCGACCCAACGTCCACTTTGATGCACCAGCGTGCTGCTCACATGGTTCGATTCGCTCGAGGTCAGCGAGTCTAGCTCGGCGACAGCTCAGGTTAGCGGCGCAGCGCTGCCGTGCCAAGTTTGACGAGCTCTTGAGGCGAAGGCAGCTCTACGATGCGGAGTTGTGCCTTGCGGGGATTTTTGACCCTTGGAATTGCGAGCCGGGAATGCTGTATATATATAGAGAGAGAGTTGTTCCTTCTCTCCAACCCACGAGACTTGATGATTGTCTTATGGAAGTAGTTTGTGTGTGCACGTATTACTCCTCAGTCCCTTTATGTATGTTACCGGTTTGCTGTAGGTAGGATGCAGGGTAACAATGTTGTTTCATGGGATTTTCAATTCCAGAGGTGCTTGATTATTGTGAGCAGATTTAATTTCTACTCATTCCAATTACAAGACGTGGATGCCCAGTATGATTTCTTGTCACTACCTCCCTGTATTTGTCTCCTGGTGTTCCTGACGGTCTCCATTCCACCCAACCAGGAAGTCTCCGCTCTCGCACGTGCTCAGCTATCCCGCTGCTTGCGCCACTCCTCGCCTTGGCTGATGCCAACGGTGGTGACGGATGAGGGCGACTGGAGGAGTCGCTGGGTGGAGTGGAGGAGCTTCTTGGGCAGCTGCCCGTGCCTTGGTATGGCCAGTTCTCCAGGTTCCATGGCAGGACCACAGAGTGGTGCGAAAGGAAACCAGTGTTAGAAGCTTCAGTCATATTTGGGGCAGGTCGGAATTCGGAATGTGCTGCAAAACAGCGTAACTGCTGGCTCAAATGCGAAACACCATGTTTGGGAAAGCCTTATATATATATATATCACCCTTAAGGGGAATTGAGCTGGGACTGAGTCTTGAGGATGCATGCATTACTGTTATACATACACACATGTTTGGGGGCTTCTTGAGAGTCAGCACTTCAGGACTCTGTTCAGGGATATTCAGAGAGGCTTCCATGGAAGGTTTAAGTTTACATGCTTTTCGTTTTTGTCCGCTCAGGTACTTCTGGCTGGAGACCAATGATGAGTCCTTTTGGGCAAGAGCTGAGACGTTTGGACATGGTGATGCCGTTGAGTTCAACACTGATGCTTGGAGTGGAAGACAAGACTTCCCTCGGCCGTCGGTGTCCTGTTTGTGTTTGTTTGTTTGTTTGTTTGTCTCTGTGTGTGTGTTGCTAACTTGAGTCCCCACAACCCTCCTCCCATGGGTTGTGGAGCACATGATGCACACTGACTTGGTGGACGAAACCCCTGACGTGGCTCAGAAGTCCATTGTCACACTCAATCGCAGGCAGGACCTGCGCGGGCTCAGTCAACCTGCGTTTTGGGGCAGTGACCAGGTCAACCTTCGCCCGGCCTTTGAACTCCAACAGCCCTATACTTTCCACAAAGGGACCCATCTCAATCTGACTGGAGGGTGGAACGACGGTGCGACGAGAAAGAATAGGATGCCCCAAACTAGATAGAAGCTCGAAGGAAACCTGTCGCAAATATCGCACAAGAATCCGTACCGGCCCTCCATGGCGGTCGGACCCGACACCGAAACGCAGGGGTGACCCGAACCAAGCCCTATAGGCTATATAGGTATCCGAGGGTCCGGATTCTTAGGGGAGTAACATTTTGGGAGAACTGAGGCTTCCATTTTGGTTGACCCCGATGGGGACGGGGGGCAGGACTGATCCCGACCCCGACGTTGCAAAAGAAGAAACGGCCCACATCATCCCACGTCACCATCACATCATCAGACAAAGCTCCAAAACAAGACCCGCCGGGCGCGAAACAGCAAATCAATTTCATTTCTTCCCACCTCTCATATTTCAGGAAACATATGGCACAACGACTTTCTTTGTGCCATTTCCCTTCCCTTGTTTTACTTTATTGATCTTTATTGGGTTTCGAAGGGTTTCGACATTCATCTACCGTTTTCGAGGGACTTGCCCCCATCGAACCCCACGCTTCGTCCAGGACGTGTCGGGCTATGAGCTCCGTCGTTTGGTGGCATTCCCGGCACCACATCTCCGGCAGCTTTTCGAGGAGCTGTGCCACCCGGAGGAGGCCGAGGTGCGGGCTTGGGAAACGCGAGATGTTGGCTTAAATCGGCTGATTTGAGTGGGAGATGTGGGAGATGCGTGACATGAGGACATGGTGAGCTTTCTGCCGGAGTACGACCGGACCACTCGATTCGCGCCGCGATTCGGGACTCGAATCGGGATTCGAAGGAGTTTTTTGGTCTCTCCCTGAGGTCTCCTGAAGCAAATATATTCAAATATACCGGGACCGATATACCGTTCAAATGCAGATTAATGTATTACGTAGACTCTTGATTGATATTTTTTCCCCAGGTCCTACACTCCTCCAAATATCTCCAGCTATAGATGAGTTAGTCAGTGTTTGTGTATTTGTTTGAATCAAGAGTATATATTATTTTTGGTCAGTAGTCAGTGGTCAGAGGCATGTCAAAGATGGCGTTCTGCTTGCAGGCACCGCTTCCAACAATACATCCAAAAGAGTATCCAAAAGGACACTAAGTAAGGGGCCGTGGGTCAATGGTCAATTGATTTTGTTCCTTTGCATGCTGGGTATATAGGCTGGGTATGGCTGGGTAGGTCTTTGCAAACGTCCATCCGTTGCGAGAAAAGTTTTCTGTGCCAGGAGAGGTACACCATAGCCGTTTGGATTTCCAGCCTTGACATCACGGTCCACATTCACTTCCCGACTGAACATGGGCAACCGCCAATTCGACTGAATTGTGTTTTGCCTGGCCCATGCACTTTCTACATGGTTTGGGTGGAAGGGGTGACTGGGAAGACGCAGCAGTGCTGCCGCAGCAGCATAGCTTGTTCAACAAGAGCAACATTAACTACGAGGTCACCAGCTGAAGGGCGCTGGAGGAATGAATGTAGGGGGAAAATCAGTCCCGCAACAGCGGGATTACAGGCGACTGGTGTGAACTCCATCGAATCTACCCTAGGGATCCAAGTACCTCCTCAAAGGTACTTGGACCCTCCAAACCCACCCCAAACACCTTATTTAGAAGGTACTTGGAGCTTTAGGGCTTCGTTTTTCCCACTCTTTCACTTCCATGCGCAAAAATCGCGCCACGTCGCCCGCGCGCTACTTGGAGCGAACCCTTCGTGGTGTTGTGATACTGGGCGGTCGCGTCGCCGGAACGTCCGCATCGTTCGAGCGCGGGCGCTCGGCCGGTCGCGAATTGGGGAAAGGTATTGTACTTGGCTCCGAGTTGCAATCCATGACCTTCATGGGAGGCATGGGGCGATTGGGCCACTTGTCCCCTGCAAGGCTGAAGGTTCCGGGGGACACGTGGGAAGAGGATGGACGGACGAGGGGCGGAAGAGGGGTGAACAAAAAGGCCTGAACTGGAGGTGTTCGTGTTTGCGGAGACTGTTCAACAGATATATAGAATGATATAGATGGCCAGCTAGGAAATTCTGGACACCATCGACATGATTCAAAATCACATGTTCAATCTTGGTAAATATTCTTTTTCAAGAGGTGCATTGTTGGGGTTGCTTTGCATGGTTAGGTGGTCGACCGTTGGGTTAAGCCGCGTTCTTCCTGAAAACAAGGCTGCTGGTGTGGACGCGGGCCTTTAGGACCAGACAGCAGACCATTTGCTTGAAACATGTCAACAACTACACTCCCGAAAACTAACATAGACCCTGACAATGGCCCCCTGGAAGAGTGTTTTCCTCTACCAACCAGTGGTTTTCAGGGTCCATGTTAGTCTTCCAGGGTGTAAGTGATAATGTACGATCTTACCTGGCTCTTCACAGTGACCCTTTGAGATCACTCATTGAGGTCACTTGGGCACTCCAAAAAGGTCACTTGGGCACTCCAAAGAGGTCACTTGGGCCTGACTGGTACATCACATTCCTGGTTTGGGGTGGAAGGATTCTTCTCCATGTTCAAACCCGCACCTCCTCCCCCGGCGTAGGTCCCTTGTTGGACTTCGACCTGAGGATGAGGTCGGTCAACGGTCCGACGGCCCGGTCGTTGGTTTCTGGGGAAGAGAGCCCCTTATGGAACCAGTGGGTTGTAGTACGAGGAACATCGTCTTTCAAAGGATTTCCTTAGATTGGCAAACATTCTAAGACGATGTTCCTCCATATATATATATATATAGAACTCAAAGGAATTCCTTAGATTGGCCAACATTGTAAGACGGTGTTGAACCCAACTGGTTTTCAGGTTCCATGTGGGTCTCTTCCAGGAATTTCAGGGTCCATTGCCTCTTGTTCCAAGGATTCGATGCGCCCAAGAGTGGAGAGGCAGTGGTTGCGGACCGTTCTTCGTTGATGAGACGAGCAGCTTTGGAGTCCCGGCAGCACCAAGGTTTATTGAAGTTTATTGACAATGATAGGATAGGTTCATATAGGTTCCAAGATGAGCCCCTTTACAATCTATACGGAGGTTGATCCCTTCCAACAGATCCGACTCTACAGTTGAAGTGGCGGCATGTTTGTATGCTGAATAGATCGCAGGAAGTGGGGAGTTTGTTGACCAAAGATCCTCATGCATACATCGCTGGCTTGTGGTTTGGAGAAACTTTGTTGGGTCTGTCATCACTGGCTTCCGCTGCTACAAGTCATATCGTTCAGGGCTTTCGAAGCAAAACCTCACCCAAACAAATCAAACAAGCAAGTTCCCGGGCACAAGAAATTAGCATGGTCACGAAGCCTGCCTACACTACATTGTGCTATTTACACAAAAAAGTGAGCCATGGAACTTGTTGCCAACTCCGCAACTCAGGACGCCTATGAACGCCTGGCCGACGAAGCTGAGACTTTCCATGCCCAACACCATTGATGCACAGACGAGGCGCTCTACTTCCGCCTAAGATGCATAGAAGTCCCACCTATAGGGGTTCGACCGTCAGTAGGGTCTAGGGTCTAGACGGACCCATATATCTCACCCATTCCGGTCCTATCCCATCCGTATGCCTAGGCCCTATCCCCTACTTTTGTGGCGCCTGCAGATGTGGAAAGCTGGCTTTTCATTATACCCCTGTGAATCCACATATATACCTTCTGAGAAGGTGATTGGAGACTATTTAAGTAGGCGCCAGGAGGGCCCAAATAGCTTCTGAGAAGGTATGTGGATCCATAGGGTACGGATAGTTCATTCATTGATTCGGTGCCCCACTTTGAGACGGAGGCTCCATGAGATGACGGGTTGACGGCGGACTGGGCGTTCGGGCTCCTGGCGGCGGACTCGGGACACCGGTCCCACCGGGATGGAGAGACAAGAGATTCAAACTCAAGAGACAGCAAAATTCATCAAAGTTCTAGCTTGTTGCGGTGCTGCCACTGAGAGTCAGCTACATTGAGAAACATTGATCAAAACACTATAGACTATGGCCCACGTTAACTCACCTTGAAAGTTTTTGCAGTCACGGCCACATTGGGTCAGTGATTAAGTGGCACAAGTCCTTCATGATGCTCACGGCTTTTTTGGACCATCGCAGCCTTCGGAGTTTTCGACGTGGTTTTCCCAAGAGTCAAGCCAGAAGTCCGAAGTTGCTGGCATGTTTGCACTGAAAGAAGCTTGATTCGCCTGGCCCGGGGCCGCCAGGGCTCACGAACCGGCCCTGCAGGGCAACCAGCACCTGAAAATGAAAAAACATCAGCCAACCCCCAACGAGACATCGGCTACAGTGCGGCAGGATGTTTTGGTGAATAATAAGGTAGAAACAGGTTCGCGTGCAGAACAACGTGTCAAATTGTGTGGTGATTACCTCAGGCGGAGCTGAGGTATGCATGCCGCAAGTTGCTTGTGTTCGGAACTGCCAGTCAAAACTAATGTCGACGTAGGATTAATCACCCCGCCTTCAAGGTCAACAAGGTTTGGGATTGGAGGGATTGGAGACCACATCCCCTTAATAAAGATTATGACCAGATGATCGATGATGCGATGAGGACCTGGACATGATGATGGGTGATGGTTGATGGAATGGTGTGTGAATCATGAGAGTTAGAACCATGAGAACCATGAAGGGTCTGAGTGTATGGGCACAAGTTTGATCAGAGGTCAGATAGGATTGATCAGAGAGCCATGCGAATTGGATCATTGCATATCAAAGCATGGAGGATGAGGAATGGGAGGTGGAGGCTATTTGTGGTGAGGGTGGATCCATGCACTGGATGGTCTGATGACTGGTGGCCTGTGGGGGATTGGTATGACGGTATGACCTTATTATGGCATTTGATTCCCAATGGGGGAGGGAATCAGAAGATCAGTTTCACCATGGATCAGAAGATATTGGATACTAGCCAAAAAGGAAATAAAAATACATAGACACAAAGCCATACAAAACGAATAGTTTTTTGTTTGGGGGACCTGGGCTGGTTTCTGCCAGCCAAAAAAGTTCTTAGCGCGATGTAGCAGGCTTTAACTAATTAGTTTAGCATTGGGGGCTCGAGCTGGGCTTGATTAATAGGGGGAGGTTACTTACTGTAATCATATGTTGACATTATTGCTAAATCAAGCGGACAAGAATTTCAGCCTCCGATAGCCTGTGTGACAATTTGCATGGCATAGGGCGGCTTGATGTGCAAGCAGGGGCAATCTACATGTGGGTGAGTTGGATGATTCGCCTTCAGGATTCCCATTGTATATTGTCGTGCTCGTTTTTTCAGCTGGCTGAAATGCCAAAGTGAGGTCGATCGTGATTGATTTGGTCACCCCTGCCAGTGAACTTAAGGTCCTTCATTGCATCTTGGTTCCTGACGCAAGGCTGGGGTAGGAGCCGCATACTGGACCGTTTGTACTCCTCTTGTGTGTTTTGTGTTGGCCGGGTCCTTCCACCATGAATCAAGTCTCCCGGATCAGATGGCAGATTTGTCGTTGGGTAACGGTATCGTGCTGCCTTGAAACAAACGGAAACGTGAGCATTCAGATGCATTCACTAAACAGAAACCCGGTTGGAGGTAGTTAGGAGGAGGTTGCTACTTGTGGACACATACCAATTATGCCGTTCAGTTTTAGCAATTTGTGTTTCGTAACTTGGAGCTAACATGTGTGCGCCAGCTGCGCCATCATTGAAATTTAGACGGTACCTCGGTCTTTGACTTAGACTGTGAGTCTTTTTTTGGTTCAGCGCTGGGTATCACCAGCAGGAGTTTGGGTCACCAGCTGCAGAACTTGCGGAACTGCTGGGGGCCCAGGCTGACCAAATGCAGGAAAATGCTGACAGCTAGAGTGGGTGAATATCCTGTGAATGGAAAGTGACTGGATGGTCAATGATGGTCAAGAGTCAAGAGTTGCATGCATCAAGTGCATCAAGCAAGTCTTGGCCAGAGTGCATGCTGATAGGAGGCAGGGCAAAGATTCCACTCTATCTACGTTTCTGTGTGTTGTGAAGTCGTTAAGCCAACCTTCTTTTGTTGGCTCAAGCTATCAAGTACTTGCTTGAAAACCCGGACGCCTCACTTCTCGCGGCGGCTTGGTCCACCAGCTGCGTGATGGGTGAACAGGTCACGATGCATGGAGTGCTTCACATCGCTTCTTCATGTTGGCTGATCAAACACCATGCGATCCTGGATCTCCTGAGTGGTGAAGTGTTTCATTTCGTTCCAGAAGAATTGAAATAGGAGACTGCGAGCAAGTTCTGGGAAGAGTATGGTGCCTTTCCTTCACTCGCCGCCTCTCAAAGCCCCAAACATGCTGAGCGGAAGTGCTCAGGATTGGGCAAGAGAAAAGGTTGGTACCGAGTTTGGTCCCACTGGTTATGAATGGGACTGTCAGAATTGCGAACACTTTGCAACATGGTGCTTCTATAACAAAGGTGAGGGGCAGCGTGCACAGGTTCAGCCGATCAATGGTGGTCTTGCTGCAGTTCAGGGAGAAAAGTGGTGGTCCGCTGCAAACATTGCAGCAAGTGCTACGTGGAAGCTTGGGGTGGTGAATACGGCAAATCGATGGTGTCACAGTGTCAAGTCCTGAAACCTATCCAAATTATGAATGAAACTGCCTCTCCCATCAAAGTGGAGCTGAAAGCCAGCAACGCCACTATGTTGTATAACATCCAAGCTGATTTCGGAGCCGGAGTCGGCAAGATTGCAGGGACTATCACGAGCGGAGGGTGCGATTTCTTAAGCCCACCTGTGGACGAGGAGCAGGTGGAGAACTTTACATTACTTGTCGCGTGGTGTTGAATGTGTTGTTTCCTCCGTTGTGGACAAGACAGGCTTGCCAGATTGCATGCAGTTTCTTTGTCAAGTGTGCCTCTTTGGGTTGCATGTTTTGTCTTCAGAGGGCAGCTTCTCAATCCCAACTCCAAACGCGATGCTTCCCTGCCCCATCTTCCGGTTTTGTCAATTTAGTATCTTAATATCCTTCCTTTGCCGCAAAAGCGAGGTCAAGCCAGAAGATGGTCGGGAAGAAGAACATACGGTTCAACATGTTCAACGAGGGCAAATGGTGCATTGGCCGTCTTGCCGCATTCGCAGCATGCATTGGCCGTCTTATGACCTTCGCAGCAAAATGTGAGGCGCAGTCGGCAGATGTCAAGAGATGTCTAGCCACAGTTAGCCATGACACCTTCAACATCCTTCAACTTCAGGGTGTGCAAGTCGCATGGCGCTGGAGGTGATGTGGAGGGTATCGGCCAGCTGGGGTGGGATCGGAGCAAGGTCCACAATTTAAGTCGTTGAGTCATGGGCGTACAAACCATGCAGAAACCATTTCAGCAGTAAGCAATGAATGAAGAAGGGATCAGACATCCTTGAAGGATTTGGAGAAACATCCAGTAGTTGTTTCTGTTGGTTTGGTTTCCCAGGAATGAATGAAGAAGGGATTGAGAACTACGTCCTTCTCCGTCGCAGCAAAGGACCGAACGCATCCCGCTTTTTGGTGCCAACGACCTGCCGTTTCAGAGTGTGGAGAGGTTGTAAATCAGCAATCAGCCAAGTCACACGGGGCTTCAATGGGTCATGTAGGATCGGTTGAGAGACCTGAACTAGGCCCTGTAGTGGCATATGGGATGGGCTAGAAGGGTGTTCAACCTCTCTTGGAATATAGGATCTTGATTAATATCTTCCCCCCCAATATATGAAGAGGTCAGTCTACCAGACCCGCCAATCCTCTCGAGCTTGGCCGGCATCCGACTGCGGCCTCGGCGAGTAGAGCAGTACAGTGTGCTGAGTTTTTGACTTTGAATCAGATGGATTTGGACATGATGGAGAGCAGAAAAAGGAGAAGGGATGGTGGCATGTAGCGATGCTTGGCATGGAAGAGGACATAAAAATTGCCGTTGAGATTTGTGGAACTGCACAATGCAATACAGGATAATGAAACCAAAACTGCACACACTCAAATTTATGAAGGCATGGTTTGACAAACCCATCAGCCGTGTTGCCTAAGCCTGATGTAGGGCTTCGGCAGGGCACGTGCTTTTCGCTAGGCTCTTTTTTGCTGCGCTGGGTCGCTTCGATGTCCCATTCCCCTTCCTTCGAGGCTGAAGCTGGGAGAAGGTTGACGAGACAAAGCTCTGGACTCCAGGCTGGCCCTGGGAAGACTCTCAGGTACTTTGCCATCGAAACAACAAAGTTACCCTCCCTCAGATCAATATGTCAATGTGGGACTAGGATGCCACCCGAGGAATCAGCCGTTTGATCAGGATTCTTCTACTACCGTCGACAAGCCAACTTTTGACAACATTTGTATATAGTTTGTAACTTTGAGCTAAGTAAGTAAGTGTATACATATATATATATCTATATAATGTCCCTGAGTGATGCACTGTGGGAACCTCCAAAAGTGCCAGTGCTGGATTATCTTTCCTTTTGAGTGGCTTTGATTTCTTTTTGGATGTGGTTACGCGCGGACGACTGCAGAGTGAGCTGTATGCTCTAGCCTGCTTTGGAAGTTGTCCGAAATGAGAAGGAGGAGAAGGAGGCCACGCATGACATGTCCTTGCCTTGTTGTCTCGTCCAGGCAGTCAAAGATATGTCCTGAAAAGAGATGAAAAGAGCATTAAATTAATTTATCATTATAGCTTAATTAGTTAAGCTATAGTTATGCTATACTTGTTTGACAGGAAGCTATCAGATATATAATGCCAGATGCAAGTTGGTTTGCTTGTTGTGTTGGCAAGTTTTTGCTCTTGCTTGTTTGTAGGTCCTGCCTCCTGTTATGGTTTTGCCAACATTTCGCTCGGCTTGTGGCGTGCTACAATTACAAACTACAACAAACGTGTTTCACACCGTTAGATGATATATAGTTGGCATGCGTTGACCTATCCGCAAGTTCACCCCAACAAATTCTTGAATCTCCGATCAGGTCAATATTGACTTAGACTTGTTGAATGACACTGTTTTTGGACAAGTTGAATGAAGCTAATGGGTGTTTTTCTACCTTCATTGTTGAAATTTACAGCATCTCGCACGCAGATTGCCATATTGTCACTGCATGGTATCTTGTGGGCAACCGAATCAGACGTCGACCATTATGGGCATGTATTGATGTATTGTGCTTTTTGGTTTCCATCTACATTCCCTATTTTCTAGAGGCATTTGCCGTCTCACAGCCCCATTCATGTTGAGACCCATCCGTTGTTGACCCGAGCTTGCCTGGCTTCAACGCCTGGATTCAACACCGCGGTATTTCGCCACAGGCACCGCTTTTCCTCACGCGCCACCTGGACGCGACGCCACACGGGGCTTCGCGGGTCGGTTGAAAAGGTTTTGCGGGTCGGTTGGGACGAGGATGGTGGATTGTGACTGCAAGATGGGGGTGATGTCACGTTTGGTCACGTTATGTCACCTTCCACACGTTGTGACTCCATGGTTAGTTCATCCTGACGGTTCCATGGATGTGGAGTGAGTTCACCACCACCTGAACTGGTCTTTTTGGGATGTCTTCGGATCATCTTTTTTCAAGGCCGAAGGTTCACCACAAAGCCTGTTATATGAATAATTCTTAAGGGTTTGGGAATGTGATGAGTTGTTCTTTGGAGCCCAGGTGCTTCAAGAAGCTAGATTGGAGCCCAGGTGGGCATGACCATGTAAACTGGGATTGCTGTTTGAGGCTGAGGAGGCGTGGATGACGGCCAAGTGTCTCTCCATATGTATAATAGTTTCATCTGAATTCACACTTTCGCCAGCTTTTCATCACTTTGATGTTATGTTTGGTTGATGGGCTAGTTTTAGACTTTGTTAGTTTAGAGGAGAAGTGCCCGAAACAGAAACCCTTGCCTGGTTCAGTCATTGTTCAGTAGGCTCGCAGAAGCCCGTTGATAGATACTATACTAACCTTTCTATCACTTTGCATCCACAGGACAGTCAAAGATGTCCATGCTTCGTTGGCTGCATGGAAATCAGTTCTGTGTTCATTCTGTCATGGCTGCTCCAGTTCATTAAGTGCTATGGCGTGTTTGGATCTTGCATGGCTCTAGAATGGCAGGCATGATCAATCAACTGGCCAATTACAAGCCGGTGTTTAACAGCCACAGCTCAGCACTTATTTGGTACCGGATCCCAAAAGGCCTTTGCACCATAAAGGTGGAAGTAACTAGTGGATGAGTCAGCTCGACATGGTTCGAGCAGATGTTCCAGCAGAAATCTGGCAGAACGCCTTTCTTCCACAAGCTACATGAGGCCGAACACAGATCTCGCCACCGCCGGAACTCCGCATCGCCCATAGACCCCCGGAGACGCGCGTATCGCGCGGCCGGGAGCACGGGCGTTTCCATCGCGCGGGATACGCGCCGCGATGGAGTTCGCGGAGCCCTCCGGGTCGTCGAGACCGCTGGGCTACGGCGAGGTGCTTTGCTCCGGGGTCGGAGGTGGTGGGAGGTGGAGGGACAGGACTCCAAGCAGACAGATTCGAAGGGATGAGGAAAAAGGAAAACAACTCGGTGAGGTAGGAGTAATGAGGAAGGATGCCCTGCGTTTGCACAGAAGGTCGTGCGAGATGATGTTTTCGCCCACAAAACAAGAACAAGTTTGGCTCTCAAGTCCCAAGTTGTGAAAGTAGCTGAGAACTTGCATCACAGATTTGTCTTTCGTGTGTGAACTAGCTGAATTGGCTCGTGCGAAGTATAGCTCTTGCAGGCGTCAGCCGTTCTGGCTCGGCTTCACGTTTTACGCTTTTGCTTGTAGCCGCCCCCCCCACTGCCTGGGGCCGCGCGGGTTCCACGCTACCGCTCTCGCACGCTCGCTCGATCCCGCGGTGGCGCGCTCGCACGATCCCGCGGTGCGACGGGTGGTTCCGGGTGGTTCGCAGCCATGGCGGTGAGAAGATGCGGCCATATGGTCACGCGGCTCCAAGCCGTTTCGGGGGGCGATGAGAGCCCAACTGGGCGGTAGTGTGTGGGCAGGTGGGCTTGCCATGTGCTTGCCTCAGAGGGCATTGGATGGCATTGGGATCATTAGGTTACATGTTGGCATGTTATTTTTTCTCATGCACGTTTGGACAGGTTGTCGGCATGAGCAGATCGTGGTTGCAGCTAATATGGAAGAATATGGAGGTATTGAAGTAGTGGTCAATTCAACTGTCAACCTGCAGGTGCCAAAACTATCAAACACTCAGTGCATCAAAAGTTATATAAAGTGTTTGCCAAGCTCCTAGGAATTTGAGCAACTCCCTTTCTTCAGGTTTTGACCATGGCCTTCGCGTACCTCCATGTGTTCGCTGAGCCCATCGTGGAGCTTTGCGAAACCAACCTGCTGCAGAGGGATCTGGTGCTGCGCACCGACGCCGAATCCGCCCTGCGGAGTGGCGCCAACAACAGCGCCTTCTTCGTGTGGCACACGGATGCTCATGTGGATCCCTTCTATTTGACGGACCTCAGGCTCCGAGTCCCAGGAAAAAAATATTAACATATATAATATATATATATATAGTTGCTTAACGTTGAAAAGGGGTCAGTGTAGGCATATGTTTTATAGAACTGTATAAAATAAATGACTAAAAATTATATATAAACTATTTATTCCATGCATGCAGTGTTTGGGTATATATATATACACATGTTATATGCATACAACCATATAGGCTCAAGGCTCAAGCCATCTCAGGTTCTCAAGCTGGTCCCATACAAATCCAGCTGCCGGATCCGTTGCGCGCCATAGTGGTGCGTGGGAGAGGCAGAATCCTGCGACCAAGCACGAGGACATCGCCATGAAGCCGGCCTACTTGGTTTGCAAATCATGTCATCAAAGCTGGATATGGCAAACAAGAGTGATAGCACAACCAGGACTGACATGCAAGCAATGCGGACATCCATGGCAAGAACGTAGCCTAGCTGACTTGAAGAACCACCGCAGAACTACGCAGTGGGCAAAATGGAACTTCCGCAACACTGGCCAGCAATGGCCAACCCGGACCTACAAGCAGGCCTTCCTGGACCCACCTCCTGGGCTGCAGTCGACCAAAGAAGACCAAAGTCAAGCAGTCTGTCCTTCAGAAAGCCGTGCAGGAACATTGGGACACACTTCCACAAGCTCTCAAAACCCAGTGTGAAGCCATGGGACTTCAAGCCAGTGCTCCGCCAGCTCCGGCAGATCTACCGACCCTGATTAAGGAGCATTTGCAGAGCTTGCCAAGTGATCTCAAGGAGGCCGTCGAGAAGCTGGTTGAGCCGGACAAGCCCGAACCCACTCTGGCCACCAAGCTCAAGCAGTCAGTGGGCAACCTCAAGCAGCTGGCTGAAAAGAAAGCAGTGCTTCAGCAAAAGGCAGATGCAGTCAAGGCTCAATACACGGCACTACTCCAAGAGCTAAAGGACATGCAGAACAAGATTGAACAGGCTCAGAAAGAACTACAAGAGACAACAACAAAATACAACCAGCAGCTTGAGAAGGAAAAGAACGAAGCCGTTGATGACGACCAAGATTTCACATTAGCCCCCGAGAAACTGGTGACCATTTTGGCCAAAGTTGGCCTACAGGCCACAGCTGAACAGGTCACTGATTTTGCACGACAGCTCGAGGAGACAGCCGCAAAAAGACGAAAGTGTGGGTAACCCGATTGAGGACGAGATGGCAACAGGGGTTGACACATGTCAGACATGGACTGCTCATCTAGGGGAACATGATGATCTTTGGTCTATGGCTGGGCATGTGCATAGAGGCTCAGAGCAGCAGGGTTCATCACAGGACAACAGCACCTGTGCTTTTGGGGCGCCGGTTCATGTCGAACTGGCCTTGATGGAACAGTTCACTGCTGTCCCAAGATTTTGTGGGGGAGCGGGACCCTTGGATGACACCATGGACCCTGCTCATGATGAAGAAGAACTTCAGCCAGTGGTCATTCCGACTATGGCTACCAAGACACCTCTGGAATATGTGATCCAAAACCTTCAGTGCCGCACTGGGAACTATCGCAATCGGTGCTTTGCTAATGCCCCTTTTAGACTTTGGTCCTGGGCGGGCAGCTTTTTGGGCGGACCGCAGCTCTGGAACAAAACTGGAGCAGCAGTCCATGCGGCTCTCCAAGATGATGGAGTGGTGAACATCACATCACTCCCGACACTGAGGCCGCTCTGGCAGCAGTTTGATGATCAGATCCAAGATGATGCGTCTCATTTCCTGATGGCCCTTGCAGATTTGGCTGATTCAGCACGCATCATTCCGGGCTACTATCATGTAGACCATCGACAGCAAGTGCACAAGAGGAAGTCATTCCCTATTCACTTGATCTCCCCAGGTGACCAACAGGAACAAGAACTAGAACAACTGATAGCGCAATGGGCAAATCAGGGAGAAGGCCAAGTAGCAGATGGAAGGGGCCTATGGGTGGGCCAAATCGGAAGATATGATCTGATTGAAGGTGAATGGACGAAACACCATCAGATTCTCAATGTCCCAACGATTTTCAACCTTCCATACACGCTGGACGGCAACGAAACAAAAACAGAACAGTACTCTTTGATTGGGCTCCTTTGCCACTCTGGCAACCAACACCAGAATGGTCACTACTATGGCATCTTTGTGTACAGAGGGGTCTACTGGATGGTTGATGACACTTCCTTCCCACGACCTCTGCCTGACATCACTGAGGGCATCAAGAGACAAATTGTCCAAGTATGGGCCTTGCCTTCAACAGAGCTCTTACCACCTGACGTTAGCTGTGAATTCCCTAGTGGAGCAAAGCTTGCAGAAGTTGAACAACCAGCAAAAAGGAGATGCCTCACCGGAGTCAGTTTTGCCTTTGCCAATGTCACCAACATGGGGCAACCCGTGCGACAATGGCTGCTTACGAGACCAAGAGCCCCTATCCTCATGGTGGAAACTCACCTGGCACCGGAGGACTACCAGAAGGTTCAACAATGGCTGACTGCCCGGGGGTTTGGTGTCCTGGGGCACCCAGCAGCAGAAAGCAGCAAAGGAGGCACACACGGAGGTCACACTATCCGGCTCACATGCATTTCCACTATGTGCACAAGCAAATCATAGATGGCTGTGGGTGGTATGCAGTGCAATGGACCTTGGCTGATGCTGAAGTCCTCCTGGTTATGGCCTATTTCCGCACTGGAGAGGGCATCCAAGGGCACACCAATGCTCAGTTGTGGGCCGGCTTGATCTCCTTTGTCACCAGTGTGATGAAGCCTGTCCTCATCTGTGGTGACTTCAACGTCACACCTGAAGAGTTCATGACCACCACCATGGGCACCATCATGCAGGTGCAAGTGTTGGCTACCGGGGAAGCCACTTGCCACAGTGGCAATGAGCTGGACTGGGCCTTGGTCTCTACATCCCTCATTGCGGATTTGTCGGTCAGGACGAGTTGGGAAGTGCCTTTCAAGCCACATGCGCAACTGCTCTTCCATTGGCTAAATGATCTTGCAGCACCGGTAGTTCAACAGATTCAAAAATTCAGCCCAGCGCCCAAACTCACCAATCCGGTCTTGGAGTGGCATCAACTTGAATATCGAGATGTACCTGTCCAATGGATGGAAGCAAAGCCAACTCCTATGACACAGAGACTTGGCGCCTTGTATCACAAGATTGAGCGCTATGTGCTGCAAGGGCTAGACAAGCCCACCTATGGGAGAGGCACACAGCTACAGTTGCTGCAAAAGCCACTGCAGGATCCGAGCAAACCGTGGATTCGGAAGAGAGGCAGTTTGGCATTTTGGGGTCAAGTTGAAGTCCGGCTCCAACAACTGCTGAAGCACCACCACATGGATCCACCCCTTCAACACCTTCAGCGTCTGGGCTGGCATCTCCAAGAACACTGGCATGATGAATGCGCCATCACCTTGGAAGGCTTCCAGCTTCTCTACCAGATGCTATGGGGACACATAGATGATGAACATGTCCGGGTGCTCCTGCAATATACTCAGCAAGTGAGAGAGCTGCATCAACAACAGGCCATTGATCAAGAGACCCAAGCTTACAGAGAATGGCTGGTCAAGGCTTCCCAGAAAGGCTGTCGGGGGCTCTACAGATCCTTAAAAAGAGATGAAATGCCCTACCTCCGACCTTTCCAGGACAAGCCCCGTCACGAGAGGATGGAATGCAGAAAACAGCAATGGGGCAACATATGGGGAATCCAACAACAGCTACCTGAACTTGCTGAGTTGATCAAACAAGGAGCAGAGCAAGGGAAGAACATGACACCTTTGCACCCGAAACAGGTCTGGACCACGATCAAACACCTCAGCCTCAAAGCGCCGGGACTCGATGGCATCAGCTTTGACTATCTCAAGGACCTCCCGTACCAGGCAATGCAGGATCTTGTCCAGATCTTCCATGAGATAGAGGCACAAGCTGTTCTGCCACAGCAATGGGCCACGTCCCTCATTGCCCTATTGCCCAAATCAGCAGAGATTGAAAGACCTATAGCATTGGTTGCAACGATGTACAGGCTTTGGTGTCGTCTACGACAATCTTTCACCAAACGACCATCGTGGCTGAATACCACTGGGAGAGAGCAGTCCCAGGGACTGAGTGTTTGCAAGTGGCTCTCAAAAGAGCCTTCCTCACGGAACACCACAACGCATTGAGGAAAACGGTGGTATCGGTCCTCCTTGACATGTCCAACTTCTATGATCGGATCAGCCTGCAGAAACTATGCACCAGGTGGCTGGACTCAGACTACTACCCCAAGACTCATGCGGCTCTCGCCATGCAGTTGTACTTCGGTGGACGAATCCTTGAAGCAGAGGGTGAGGCCTCCAATCAGGTTTGGACTCAGAATGGCATTTTGGCAGGGGACCCTCAAGCCCCTCTGGCGGCCAAAATCTACTTGTATGAAGCCTTGAAGGCCTTCCACAAAAAGTATCCGCACCTGCACACGGACCTATGGATAGATGACCTGAGCTTTGATGTGGTTCATCGAGATCCCGCCCAAGCCGCAAGGATCGCTCTGCAAGCGTATGAGTACATCCGGCAACTGCTGGAAGCTGACAACCTGAAGATCTCAGCCAAAAAGACAGGCTTCATTGCATCAAACAGTGAGGCCAAGAGGATCCTCCAACAACAGCTTCCCCCAGATGGGCCCAGAGTGCATGACGTGATGAGGGACTTAGGTGTCGATTGCACAGCAGGAAGACTCAGACGGATCCAGACGCTCAAGGGCAGACGCAGCAAGGCCTTCAGGAAGACCAAAAAGCTCGCCACCTTGAAGCTGCCCTTGAGGAGCATCAGATTGAAACTCTACAAGGGCAGCATCGTAGCTGGCATTAGTTGGGGCCATGAGGCCATGGACAAGTTCGACGACGCCTGAAAATTGCTATGGGCCGACAGATTGGCCTACAACGCACGGGGAACATTGACATCCTCTTTGACATGCATAGCAAGCACCAGGACCCCGACTGTGGCTCTTTCATGTCCCAGGTTCGCATCTACCGGAGATTCTATGGCAACTGGCCGGAGGCTACACACAAGACTCTGGAACGATCCTGGGCTGCTATCAGGGACAGACTCCTTCAAGCTCAACACCCTTGGCAAGTCGCCAAAGGCCCAGTCGCGGCCCTGATTTGCCATCTGTTGGAAAGAGACTGGGACTGCACCCACTATGGGCTTTGGACCAAACCTGGTCACAATGGGAGTCGGGATTTCCGCTTGGACATGACGGAGGATTGGTTTGCCTTGAGAGAAGAGCTCAAACGGGCTGAACGCTGGGAGCGGATTGAAAAGATCAACAAGCGTTCCATGCTCGGTGAAGTGCAGTACACCTTGGATTGGACACCATGGCGGAGGATGAACAAAACCCTCAACAGCAGGAACAGCACGGCCTTAGCAACCTGGCACCAAGGGGCTCTCTTCACCAAGATTTCGGACACTGAGGAAGACAAGCACCTGCAATGCCCCCACTGTGGGCACAAGGCCACACTCCTGCATCTCCTTTGGCTCTGCAAGGAGACCAACCGACAGTTCCCGGAGCTTGATGCGGAAGACCAGTTTGAGCTCGACCATGGGATCAACCTAGAGTTCTGGACGCTGTTGACATGAACTGCCCACCGGAGGAGCAGCAGCACAGGCCTGGGGTAGCTGGACACTCCAGGACGAAATGAAGATTAGCAACACGGCTGTCTTCACCATTGGCATTGCAGCCACGAGCAAAGACCCACGGCTACGACACTTTGTTGTGGCCTTGGTGCAACATGCCAAGTTGGGAGATGAGTTGTACCGACTGGGAGTGGTGGCCACGATCCTTCCCGGACATCAATCCTTGGAGAGGGCTTGGTACTATGGGCTGAGGATGGCCGCCCACTACATCAAGTTGAGCGAGCAGATTAGATTCCACATCCTGTCCACCAAGGCCTGGGAAGCATGGGTGCATGGCAAGCACGACCACATCTTTCATGATTTGGCCAGTCTGGTCACGGCAGATGAAAGGCATCAAATCAAAGCCTTGTGCCTGAACATGCAGCAGGTCAAGCAGATGCCCAAAGGCGCCTTAACTTTGAGGAGCCGATTTCACGACGCCACCAAGGCGGCTACAGAGGTGGCCCTAGCCTATCAACCGAAGGCTGAGGAAGCAACCTTGCAAGAGCAGGACAAGAAGTACAAGAAGATAGCACCTTTGGCAGTTCAGCGCATCAGGTACATCCTTGACTCCAAGGATCATTTCACTCACCAGGCTCGAGAAACTGGCAAAACACTCCGTTCACAAACACAAGAACAGAAGAAGCAGGCATACAACGCCTTGACCACGGAGCAGGCCCCGGGCACTCACAGCTGGGTCACCAAAGGTCGAGGGAAGCAATGCACACTTTGCCTCACGCGCTTGACACTCCACTCGAAGCTTCCTGACATCATCCAAGCAGGCCAAGAACGGTGTGCTGGAAACCCGGGCAGCACCTTGGGAGGCGCTGTTCACATGAAGCAAGACACCGAGACTAAGAGCCAGATGATCCAACAGATCCTTGATGGCACCTTGCCGGAAGCTGGAGGGCATCTTTTCAAGCAGCAGGGCAGCTACTTGGTGTGCCAACACTGTGGGACGCGCACTTTGCGCAACACGGCCAAAGAGAAGATCAAGGCCATGGCGGTTGAGCCCTGCATCAACCAGGCATGGCAACCTGACCAGACATGGGGAGGCCATGCAACTCACCGCATGTGGAGGAAAGCCAAAGGCTTGCGATGCCAAGCTTGCAGAGCGCAAGCCATGTGGCAGAAGGACAAGTGGGTCCCCAGCAAAACGCTGAAGGCGCCATGCGGGGAGAAGGCAGACACCACACAACTGCCACTCCTCTTCAAGGCCAAAACGGCCAGCCCGTCACCATAGAAAAGGAGCGAGCAAAAAAAAAAATACAACCATATGGATCGTATATGATCAGATTCTTCATTCTAGTTCATCATCCTTCATTAGGGCTCCAGACGCATCCTCAGAAGGTAGTTCACCCCTCAACACCTCCCTGAAACCTTCGGTAGTTGGAGTCCTGGCGCTGCTGCCAAGCTATGTCTCACCAACTCACTGCCAGGATCTGCCGTTCGTGAGTGCCCGAAAATCCAAAAAAAGAGAGAAACCCAAAAAATAGTCGGATGCAAAGCCCAGTGAGTTTCCCCCTTCCTGCCAGAAGTATAGTATGCAAACACTGCCTACATTGACCCCCCAAACAACCCCAATGTATGTAAATATGCCACTAAATATGCCATATACATGGAGTGTTTGGGGTATGCCAGCTCTTGGGATCACTTCTCACCAACTCACTGCCAGGGAGTGTCAGAAGAGGAACCTCACTCTTCTGGAAGCCCATCCTTTCGGCATCATGTCCTGCGACCCTCCGGAGCGGCTGCTCCGCTCTGCCTTCGCAGCCTCTGCGCGTATAGGCGCGCCGAATGCGAGCTTTGTGCTGTACACCGGAGATTTCGTGAGACATGCCATTCGAGACTCGGTGGCGTTAAGGAGACCGCGTGAGATGGTGCTTAAGGGACCAAACATGACCAAAGCCAAAGAGCTAAGAACATGCCAGAACTAGACTATTCAGTTCATGTCCCATACTGAGCAATTTTTTGCATACAAAGACATTCCTTGTGCCATACCCTTATTTATTTATTTTGGTGAAGGTATGTGGAGGTGCTAGAACTATCTAGAACTGCTCATTTCAAGAAAACGTTCACTTGCTCAGATTCGTGCAGAATCGCAGAATACGACTTATATAACTTATATATATATATATATAACAATATATAACATGTTGCTGCAAGATGTTGCATGGTCCATCCAGTGACCTAGGACAGATGCCAGACCCTTACGAGAATGCCTCCCAGATCGTCGCAAACGCCACTGGGCGTACGCGTGTATCGGTTAAACCGTAAGCTTGAGTAAACTTGTCAATCCTACGACGTAAGCCGCTGGCACATGTGACACCCTGCGACCATGGCGCCAAAGAGTTGGCCAAAGCTATCCTAGCGTCATTGTCCCACTTCATGGCGTGTTGGACCACAAACCAAAATCAGACAGGCAGACGAGACACTTAGCCAAGCAACACCAGATGATACAGGAACACTAGATGAATCAATATGAATTTGATAACGACATATTCTCTACATAGTTCTGCTTGTTTGGGGCGAATTGTCAATGTCTCAACGCTTCTTGTCACTTGGTCCTAGAAGATGCTGGAACAGCACAGTGCATCTCTATTTATGCTGGCAGGCAAGCCAGGTTTGTTTATGATAGCATGTTTCCACCCGGAACTTTGAGCTTAAGCCTTTACTCATGTGGAGTGGTTTCCCTACTGACCATGGAAACTGGTTTAGCATGTGTCTGAACTTTTGTCACAGGTCAGTTATGGATTATGGCCACTTGACCCTCTTAGTGATCTGCTACCATATCCATATAACCCCCGACGTCAGAGCTTTTCATCAGGTCTCGCGCGCGGCAAAAGAGGCCTTTGAAGATTTACCTGCAGCTTGGTGGCGAATCGTTTGGCCTTTTGGGGCGATGTTTCTTCGGCGGTATTTTTTGACATGACGCATGCTGCCACGGGTATATGCGGGAACACCTATGATCTAGAGGATGTTTAAACAATGCCCTCATGTTGGATAATTATCATACTTACTTAAACAAACATCCTAAGTAATTACTGTAATTGGGTGCTCCCCCATTCTAAACCACTGCATTTGTTGGCTTGTTCAGCTGAGACCATTTGAGACCAGAGATCACAACCTTTGGTTCCTTCGGGCTCCCCACGAATTCGAAGCGTTCTTTTTTCCGTATACACCTGCAAAGCCCAATGCCAAGATTTTTTGGGTCATTATGGGAAAAGGACGTAACGTTCAGTTTTTGTTAATCGCCCAAAAAAGAGTCGAAGAGCATGGCAGGCGTACCCGTAGCAAATGCGCATTTGTTCCACACGTTGACAAAAACACCCCGTAAAGAGCCGTAGCAACTCTCACACAAGTCATAATGACTAATGTCCGAAAAAATGGTCAAGGCCGTTTGACAAAACATCTTATTACATATTTCGAGGTGGTATAATGACTGTAGATACAGGTAGATCTCATATGGTTGAAAAGGGCTGTAGTGAGTGGGTTGAAGACTTCCAATAACAAGACTTCCGTCCATGTGGGGTCTTTGGCATGTGTTTGCCCCCCCGCCCCCGCAGGAGTTGAACATCCAACCCCCCTGGGTTTTCACGACACTCGGAATCACTCGATGTCTGCCAACGTGGATGGCACTCGATTTCGAATTACCATGACATCCAAAACCAAACAGCTGGTGAACTCACTCCACGTCACCACGTCACTCTTCCAAGGAGTGCATCTTTCCACCGATTCACCGATTCACCACGTGATCCGCGTGATCGCGTCCGCCGTGGCATCCACGGCAGGTGCTCTTTGGGACGCTGGGGAACTCGGATTCCCGCGAGGACTACTACCAGGAGCTCACGGACAACGAATCCTCCAACCCCTGGCGCCCTGGCAAACGGGTGTTGGTGCAAACCGTCCAGCCCGCGGTCTGAACGGAGATGAACGGAGTGACGGAACCGCCTAGTGTGACGAGTCCGGCAGTCTCCGCTTCACCCTCACTGGAATTCATTTTGTTCTTCTGGTGGCCGATTGGTCAGGTTTGAGAAGCTGGGCTCGGCCATTCACAGCCAGGCCGCCGTGGTGTCGGGTGCAGCGGTGTCACCGGAGGGGGTTGAAGCGTGACTGTTTGGTTCAGAACTTCAATCTGGGATTTGACATTGTAGGGCCACCGCTGCAGTTCAACACCGGCCCTTGTTTCATGCTTTTTGGCCCTTTCTGGAAACACAGCCCGTGGGCCCGTAGACACGTTGGGTGATTCAGAAAGAGGATGCGTGGTTTTGGTAAGGAGGTGGCTCAAGCTCACCTGGTGAGTCAGGTGAGGGGAAGCTCAACACTTCTTGGGTTTTTGCACTCTAAGAGTGAAGAGCCTCCTCACAGACAAAACCATGGAATTTGATGAGTTTGTGGCATCTACACCTGCATTGCTGTGTCAAAAGGAATGTCCTCCAGGGCAACCTGGGTCCTGCTTTTGCATACATGCTCAACCATTGGTGACCATTTGGGCCATCAATGCAGGGCGGGATGAAGCCAGAAGTGCTCGAGCAGTTCACCTACGGGAGCTACTATGAGACTCGGGAAGGTGCGGCAGGTTGCAACCATTTCCTCTGACTCTCGGAGAGCGGCGTCGTATACACTCCCGACCACTCACCTGAACCCGGGTTGTTCATGGCACCCTGAGTTCAACTGTTTTCCTCTACCAGGGTCAGGTTCTCAGGGTCCATCGTGTTCAGTGATGTAGACTCTTGATTAATAACCCTCTCATATAAAAGGAGGTTGGAGGTTGATTTGATCCACCGGATGAGCAGACAAAGCCAGTGGCTCAGTGGCCTAAGAAGCGAAGAAGGGAGAAAACGCTGAAGAGGTAGATCTTAGGGGAGGTGATGAATCAAGAGCCTACATTGGGCGGCCGGTTTCAGCTGACCAGACACTGAGCTGGGGAGACCGAGCTCAGTGACCGAGCTGGGGAGAAGGCTGACCGCCATGGTTTTTGAAGGATGTTGGAAGGGGAGGTCCATGGTGCCTGGAATTGCTTCATCCCCATGGGTGGTCTTTCATATTACTATAGGCCTCATTGTATAATCATCAATGGAGGACCGAGGAACCACATGGAACCACCATAGGGATGTAGTGTCTTGAATCCATAAAGTTTTAAGAGATATCTACTCAACAATTACTAATTAGGACATTTTTCCCATCAAACAAAAAACATCTCCACTATGATCCTTTCCCAGACACTCTATGTATGCCATATATGCCTACATTGGGGTGGTTTGGGGGGGTCAATGGGGCGGCATATATGTGGCAGTCCCATGGAGTGTTTGGGCCACTATGATCCTTTGACAGATCTCAAGTCTTTCTCAAAACCGGCGGCGGCGAAGGCCAGCTGACGATCCTCAGCCTGGCGACGGTGATCTACTCCGTCGATCATTTGCCCTACGGCCCGCTAGAGAAGGAACACTTGGGGGACTCGTGGGGGACTCTTGGACTAGGTGCTGGTTTTGGAGATGTTGTTGTTTCGGTCGATGTTTCAAGCTTTATTATTTGGGGTGATTAGACCTCTACTGATGCATATTTTCGAGTGAGTTGACACCACCATCACCATCCAGTTTGGAATTTTCTCGGAGTTTCAGACCTTCGTTCCTTGTCTAAGGGACCCTGAAACAGGACTACCAATATATAAGGCATCTTGAAGCGGATTGCAAAACATGGATGACCTGTCTCAGTCTCAGAGGTGGTTTGGAAGATTTGGTTTCCTCTACTTATATATGGGTTGGTTGAACCACCTTTTCCAGTTGCCTCTGAAGTAACTACTACTGCCAGCATTTGCAAACAAGGAATGTATCCCATCCAAACAAACACCACCCCAGGACAAAACAGCAAAAACTTAGGGCTCCAACCATATCCTCAGGTTCGGTGGTTGGACCCCCCTGGCACCCTACCTCCGTCCCATCTTCTCAGGAGGTTGGCCAGGAGCCATTGGAGCTGTAGGGAACACACACACACACACCAAGCACCAAGCACCGGCGGAAGCCGCTGGCCACGACACTTCCGCAGGACCCCTTTGGACAGTTCCGCTGGCTCCGGCAGCGCTTGCAGCTGGCCGCCGCGGATGGGCGACATGTCTGGTGCCTGGGAAGTGGTCCGGGCGTGATGGACGTTGGAACAAGACCATCCTAAGCCCTCAAACAGATACCCAGGCACGACTAATGGGACTGCCATAGGACTGCCGCCCCATTGACCCGGCATATATGGCAGTCCCATGGAGTGTCTGGGATAAGGTTTGGTTCGGCCCCGGACCCCTGCGAAGAGGTCGGGCCCGACCCCTGCCGACAGCCCGAGCTCGGAGTCTTTGGGCAAGGTTGACACCGCTTCTCGCTGTTTCTGGTTTCTTGGGTGAGGCGACTGGCTAGCGGCTAGACCAACAGCTGACGGATGTGCAAAACAAGTGGTTTCTTGGGTCATTAATTATAACTAATTACCCATTTGTTTTCTAGAAGTGAGAAGAAAAGAGAACGTCGCTTTTTCGTTTGTGGCGCCAGACCCTCTTGCTAGTTGAAGTGATTGGAGGTGATGAATCCAAGCATGATGGCACGTAGAGTCTTGACATCCACTACTCCACCAAATCCAAATAAATGCTCCAAGATCTGAAAGAAAGACGCACCTGGATGGAGTTGTTTCCTCGATGTAGAGCAGACGCCTTCAACAGATGACCAATGACCAATGGAGTGAGGATTTGTGGAAACACGGCGTTCCAAGCCCATTGGACAAGGAAAGAGCTAACCGCTCGATGCTCGCGGCGACAGTGGATGTTGATCAACGGTACGCATTGCACTACTTAAGGGGCTTCGAGATCCACTATATGTGGTTTTCAGGCATGTTGGCAGAGGATTCGGACTGATCATCATTCTAGGGCCGGAGGCCAATCATACATTTGGACCTTGACATGCTGCATATCTGGCTTTGCTCACGGCTTGTGTGCGTCTCAATGTGGGGGCCCCACTTGGTGAATCGGATCACCCATGTTTCCAACAAGAGAGGAGTGTTTTTCACCTCCAACTCTCTCCAGCACACCCTCTACATCCAAGCTACCTCCCTTGGTTGAACTCAACTTACAGTTCACCAGGGTGATGGGAGCCTTCCAATGTACCAGGATTGTGGGCCACATCTCACCTGGCATCGAAACCTTCGCGTACACCGAGCTTTGGTATCCACAATACGTGGAGGCCTACTTAGAGATCGTCCAGGACTGCCGGTGACAAACGGCGAGAAAAAACCGCGACCTTCCCACCCTCCGTTGGACTCTCCCTTTCTTCCGTTGACGTGTTCATGCAAGTTTCAGGCTTTGAGGGTGACCTGACCTCCCTTGATTTGGAGCTTGTGGAATGCATCTCAGTCTCACCAAACGAGAGCTGCATAGCCCCCAAAAAACGACATTGCACATTGCATTCGAATGAACTCTTCCTTTGCTGTGTGGTATCTCTTTGGGTTCCTCGGACTCATGGAAGTGGAGTTCACCACCATGCAGCTGGCATTCGGAAGACCGCTTCCTTGCGCGGAAAACCATGCCCACCTGGCCGGTCGTTCCACCACCCTCAGCCCACCTGGGCTGAATCAGACGTCTACGTTGGATTCATCAAGCCTCTCTTCATTTTGGATGGTGAGACCGAGACCTCATGTGGTGGGTGTGATGCATCTTTCGACCGGCATGACCGCGAAAGCGAGTCTGAAATGGCAGGCCCGAAGACGGATTGGGTGCGGTTCTACTACCGCGCTTCCTCTTCCACCCACCTCCGCCCAGCTCCGGCCGCCCCACCCGGTGTCTTCCCCCTCCGTCCACGAGTCGCACGGCAGGACCCTGTGCTTGGCCCTTGGATTGCCGCGCAGCTGTTTGGCCATGCTCCTGGGAGCGGTAGACGTGGTGACCCGGTCGGGGACCCTCCGGGCTGACTCAGGGAGTGCTTTGGGTGGACGGAGCAAGAAGCATGGGAATTCCGAGGTCTTCTTTGGGTGGTGGGGAAGATGACTTAAGTATTCATATTATAGTCAATAGTTCGGGAACGGGAGCTCTTGGGAGACAAATAGTGAAGAATAGCCTGGTGATGGATAGAACTCATGAGCCATTTAAAGAGCGAGCTTCTGAGAGAACTTTCAATAGTTTCTGGCAGAATCACACGGGACCGATCTCAAATCCAAGTGGGTCAACCCCAATCACAACAATCTACTAAGAAATAAGTCGGCTGATAGATAGTGTTTGGTCTTAGAGTATTTTGGTTCTCTTCATGTTCGTGAATCTTCACCCAGGATGTTGGGGTAACATGACCCAGTTCCCATTGGGTTTTGTGACATATGTTCAGCCTCTCGTGCCATAAAGAGGTCTCCAGCAGTTGGTCCTCTTCTCCTTCCCGTGGCTCAGCTCCAGCTCCGCCCCAGGTGCACAAGGATGAGCTGCGGCTCTTGCCCGAGCCTCCGGCCAGCGCTGGGCCCATTTTCCTCTCCTCATCCTTAAGCCCTGTCCGGTGGCCAAAGGGAGAGGTGGAGACACTCAAGTGATTGGAGGGGTGCTGATGGGCTGAGAGATGAGCCTATCCCCAAAGGGAATCATCGGAGAATTCATTTTAAGTGGCATGGCATTTTAGTGGCTCTTTTCGTGGGGGAGGCGATATTGTCCAAAGTCCACCGTCTTCCTATACTTGAGCAATAGCTGGCCCAGTAGAAGGCGAACCGGTCCCCTAGTTCCACGTGGTGGTGTGGATGCCACTGCCCAAAAAAAGACCGGAAAACCTTGGCCAGGCGTCATGAACACCACCCTCGCCGATGCGCAGTGGCTCGACCGGCCCCAGGTCAGCCGCCTCCCAGGGCGGTAAGCTGGCCGCCCCCGGCCGCCCCCCCCTAGCGTGCAGCGGTCAGCGGTTAAAGCAGCGCGGGAGGGAAAAAGTTATAGGACGGGATAACCCCACATGTTAGTAGCTTAGCAAGAGAGAATGTCTGCGTAGGTGGTTGGTGACAATTGGTGGGTGGCAATTGGTTGGTGTGACAATTGATTGATTACAATTGGTTGAGGTCCATGTTTATAAAAAAAAATAAAGAAACACATGCCATCAAAAATAATCCTTTCAGAAGGGCAGAGACCCACCAGCACCGGCCAGCACCAGCCAGTGGGGTTATCCGGTCCTATAATGGTTGTGTGCTAATTGGTGTGTTGTTGTTGTTGTTGTTGTTGTTGGCCGCCCATCTTGGGCATTTTGGCCTAGCTTGGCCCTATGTTGGGCCAGCTTGGGTCCATGTTGGCTCATTTTGTTTTGTTTTTTTTTTTGCCTATGTTGGGCGTATATTGGGCCATCTTGGACCTAATTATGTTGGCCCATCTTGGGCTATGTTAACCTATCTTGGACCTATCTTGGGGGCCTCTGTTAGGTAATCTTGGGGTACATTTTGCGCCATATGTGCTCATCACAAGAAATCTGATTATGCACGTCCGCGCGGCGCGCATTACCGACACCACCCTTGTAAAGCCCACAGTTTTTGCATTTCGCCACTGTCCAAATTTTGGATCTTTCACGCCCACAAAACCCTGTAAAGCACAGTGTCTTTGAACACCACGCGCGCAAGTCACAGCGGCACAGCGGCGGAGACCCAGCAGCCCCGGCCAGCACCGGGGCGTACATCCGACCCCCTGGAGAAGACAATTGGCAAGCAAATCATTTGCTGATGACAATTGGTTGATGACAACTGATGACAGTTGGTTGGCGACAATTAGTTGGTGGAACATTTGTTGTTAACAATTGGTTGTTGACAACTGGTTGGCGACAACTTGTTGGTGGCAATTTGTTGGTGACAATTTGTTGGTGAGAAGTAGTTGGTGGCCAATTGGTGGGTAGCAATTGGTTGGTGACAATTGTTGGTTGATGACAATCGGTTGATGACAAGTGGTTGGTGACAAGCGGGAGGAGGAGCAGGAGGAGGAGCAGGAGGAGGAGCAGGAGGAGGAGCAGGAG